GCTCAAACTTTTCACTGTGAAGAGAGAACCTTCTAAAATAATTCAGCGAGAAAAATGAATCGCGCTTTCAAAGACAGGTAGGTCACTCACCCGTCGGACTTACCGCCGACACTACTTTATTCAGATCTTGCGGTTTTCGTTTGCCAGTATCAAACTTTTTGGCGTCAGTTCTTAACCTACGTTGCGAGACCTTTCATTGGTCGTGCGAGAGGGGAAGGGGGAGGTCTGAAAATGTGCAAATCTCTCCCTAAATGTACTGTATGGTCTGGGTCACAGCCTTTGTAAACTGTAAATTATGTATGAACTACATGATGTATATTGCTCTCAGCTCAAGGGTGTTTTGAACCAATGGCCATCAACTTCTTCCGCTATTTATTTGAGGATTAGTACAATATTCAGCTGGTAAATTCAAATAGATAACTTAAATAGGCTATTCAGTGCTTATTTCACATTGCCTACAATCAGAAAGCTATTATTCTGAAATGTAACCAGCTTTCAAACCTTAATAGATAGGTATTGATAACCTTGAATGCCCAGCTTATCAGGCTTACTCGCATCATTACCTGGACAGGTTGTGATTGCTCAAAACAAAAAGCCCCATTTAAAGTGTAAAGTTATTTTTGTGCCGATGAAATACAGTGGTGGAAAAAGTACACAATTGTCATACTTGAGTAAAAGTAAAGATACTTTAATAGAAAATGACTCAAGTAAAAGTGAAAGTCACCCAGGAAAATACTACTTGAGTAAAAGTCTAAACGTTTTTTATTTTAAATATACTTTGTATGTTGTATTTATTTTTGTATTTATTTACGGATAGCCAGGGGTACACTCCAACACTCAAGACATCAATTACAAACAAAGTATGTGTTTAGTGAGTCCGCCAGATCAGAGGCAGTATGGGATGACCAGGGATGTTCTCTTGATAGGTGTGTGAATTAGACAATTGTCCTATCCTGCTAAGCATTAAAAATGTAACGAGTACTTTTGGGTGTCAGGGAAAATGTATGGAGTAAAAAATTGCATTTTTTCTTTAGGAATGTAGTGAAGTAAAAGTAAAAGTTGTCAAAAATATAAATAGTAAAGTAAAGTACAGATACCCCAAAAAACGACTTAAGTAGTACTTTCAAGTATTTTTACTTAAGTACTTTACACCACTCATTAAATATTACTGTGAAAAATAAATGTTCTTGGAGCTGAGCAGTGGCAAGAGTTGAGGCAGGCAGTTGTAACATGTGGAATGGTCATTTAGTCAGTATGGGGTTCAAGTTAGAGGCTGAATGGATACCTGCCACGTCTCCTGGCTGTTACAGCACCCGGTGAAATGCATTTCTTGACTTGCAGCTGATTTCACAACCTGTCAACTCTCAGTGATGGCAGTGCTATATAGGAAACACAGAAAGCAAAAAGAAGTCAGCAGACTAGATGTTGGAAAAACATCCAAACAGTCCACATGCTAGAAACAAACTACCAAGAGCTTGAGAGAAAGTATCAATGGAACGTGTGATTCGATGATGATAATGATGAGATATTTTCTTAGGTTTATGCAAAGGAAGAGATATTTAGTATGGTATTCTGTCACCAACTTGATCAAATAGCACATGCTGGAAGCTCTCTAAGTCAAACTGCATACTTACCAAACCTCATCTAACGTTTTGAACAGATCATAACTCATTTTCCAATTGTGCATTGAGAGGTCAGCATCAGTGTTACGTCATTGCTCTCTAGTGGATATTGTGCTATGTTGTACTACTACACTTCAGTTTATCAGTCCATCAGAAAATCAGTGTATTATCTGTAACTCTGTGTCCTCTCCTATCCTCTAATTAACTGTGTTGGTTAAGCAAATAGGATTTATACCTCTCTGGGTGGGCTAAGCAGTTCTCCTGAGTACTTATTGTATTTTAGGTATTACAAAATGATAAACGTCTAATAGGTTAGCTATAACACACTTCACAAAACAATTATATACACTGTTATATTAAAGGTGTTCAGCTTCTATAAGGTCATCTCATATTACATGTAAAAATGTTGACACCCACCCCTACCCATTCCAGAAAGAGGCAGGTCTTACAGTAGGCTACTTCAGCATGGGAATCAGATCAAGAGTAGCTAGCCCACCGGAAAGGTAAAAGTAAACATTCTCTGGGAGTGCTGCCTCAAACGAAACTCCAGACAAAACAATCCCAAACTGTCTGAAACACAGAGGTATAGGAAGCCCCCCTCTGTGCTTCCCTCCACATACAGTATCAACCCGGCTCTAGGGAAGGCCGTTTCAAATGGTTTCAACACTGAGCGTTGGCAAAAAATCATCCCCCAATACACATTAGTTGTGTATCTTAAATCATGTAGTGAAAAACATTGATATGCTTTATTGGAGTGTTCTTGTGTTTTTCTCACTCCACACTTCTCCAACTTCCAAGTGTATTCCACTGGCTTATTAAGAACGACTACACCATTTGGATGGAAAGATGGAAAATGTCATTAGGATAAAATACAATAAATGCACATTTTACAGAATGCACCTGACCTTACCATAACATGTAGGCACCTGTATAGCTCTGGTCCAGGGCGTTAGTATGGCTGTTAAGGGGCTCAGAGTTAGCAGCCACTCTAACACCCTGGACCAGAGATAGCTACTGTATAACCATGTTGACCTTGACCTTTCGAGGAATCAGTTTGAGAGGGAGATGACCTCAGGCGCCACTGATCTGCTTATCTCCCTGATGATGGCGTAATTCTTTTCTTCCTGTCAGTTTGTGGCTGTATCTCTGTAATTGGCCAACCCACTCCACTGATTAAAGCGGTCAACCCGCTGTGTGGTTTCTAGGAATGTTTTATGGCCTGGTTTTGGCAACGCACTTTTCCAATTGGAGAGTGATACTGCCATGTGGCAAGACATTCAGTTTTGACATGTCCTTTGAGGTGAGGTTTTTGGTTCGTAAACTGAAATGTGTAAGGTATTGAGACTTATTTATGTGTTTGGATGTTTTTTGGGGTTATTTCCAAAGTCCAATTTGTTTAAATTTGTGGACAGTGAGGTTGTTTCAAATATGTTACAAAATCCATAACAATTGTTAATTCATACAGTATTACAATGTACCCAGGCCTTCTGGTGCATAGCACCATCTACTGACTAAAGTTAGAAAGTGTACTACTGAATTATCCCCAGCTGTCTGATATGAGTAGTTATCTGCCCAACACATGCAATAACTCTCCCATAATATCCTGTGGTCTGTTTGCCAATCTCTTTCGAAATAGTAATTTTTCCTACAGATTATTTTCCCTGTGTATTACAGATATGCAAAATCTATTTTATAAAGGTTAATAACTTTTAGGGTGCATTCAGTGCGTGCCTTGGCCTCATTTCCCCATAATCAAGGTTCAGTAATATGCTGTATAGAGCTTGCAATGAAGAGGCTCAGTGCATAGTAAGCACTCAAAGGAGATATTTCACTGTCTCTTGATTTTCATGGCTCTGTGATGTTTTTGATGTACAGTACAGCTGCTCTTCCCTTGAAAAGTTTGGCCAAACAATTGAAATCATGAGGGTAATGTCCACATAGTCATGATCATTCTCCCAAGACAAGTCATAGGCTGCTTCCCGTTTTATACACTCGACTTATACCTGATTTAGGCTTACGGTGTCCATATTAGGACTTCCTACTGGTTGTGGCTGTTGGATGCTTTAACCACATGCTGTGCATTTGTCTCTGTCTGTGCGTCTGTGTTTGTGGGTAAACCATGAGGATCCTGGCAGAGGACTAGTGCTCTGTGACCTGTTAACAGGTCATGGTCTGATGGACCCAGGCTGCCTGGCCCACAGATCAACTTAGACTGCAGAACATTCCGTGCTCAGGTGACCATGGAAATGGCAGGAGCTGGAACAAACCAAGTAATCAGAGGATGATTTGCAATATCATCTAATCTACCTGTATGTATCCTAGGCTCAGTAGACAGATTATTCCAATCATGAACACAACCAACAAGGGAATCTGTCTCAGAAATTACCATTTTGAATTCCACTAAGCATTTTGTTGCTGACAAAATGCACAAAGGAGGGTTTCAATTACCACATGTTGATTATGATTGGAGATATAGCTACAGGACAAACACAATCTCAAAGCAAATCAGACATGATTTATCTGAACTCAGATAATCATAAAAAGCCAATGTAGTGAAAGCAAAGTGTGCATGCATTACACAGCACATTCAGAGCTGAGCAAGCTTAAAATAGGCCAAGAGAAGTGTGTATTTTGGTGGCAGGGCCGACCTGGTTGGTTGAGGAAGGCTGTGACTTCCTGACACCTGGTGGCCCAGCGGGTCCATCTGTGGGACGACACACTCCCAGTGTTAGGGGTGGTCTTATGGGGAGAACTACACACCTACACACACACGTACAGACACACACACACACACACACACACACACACACACACATAGACACACACACATACGCACATACACACTGACTGTAGGCTTACAAGACTGCACCATTTGAATATATTGCTGTTATCTCATCACATTGAAGGCTGCTTTGGAAAGTAATAAGTATGTTCTTTGTGATATTTAAGATCAAATGTTTTAGCAGTGAATGTAAAGCAGAAAAGAGGATGACTCTAGAGTCTAAGTTAAAATAGAATAACATTTATTTCCACTACAATGGGATCTGATTGGTAAGGATGAATCATGTAGTTGGATCCAGATGTTCAAGTTCCTGTGAGAAACAAAACAGGATACAGAGAAAATAAGGAATTTATAATGAATACAAAATGATTCAATAAAATGATTTTACACTGAGCAGTGATGTGACTTGACATTGACACACTGATTTGAATACATCTTCAAACCCTATCTATCGAGGTGTCATAAATGCTTTTCACAGACGCTCTCTCTCTTTTTTTTTTTTTTTTTGCCGAGAAATCTGTCAATCTGCAGTTGTTAGATTTTTCCATTCCCAACTGCAGGCAGGTGTAGAGAAATGGAAGGTTTCAAATGACACTTGCATCTGGAGGCTTACAGTTGGGATCGCAGTTCAGTATGTAGCAGGCGTAACTCAGGGCAGCTTTAAGGGTCTGTCAAGATATGGAATAAGAGGGTGAATAAAGCATCAACCTTTATTTAACCAGGAAGTCCCATTGGAGTCAAAAGACCTCTTTCTCAAGGGACACATACTTTATTGGTCATGTGAGAGATACAGTATATAGTCTATGTATAGAAATGATCTACAATGAAATGACATATAATTAGCATTTTGAATGCATTAATATTTACCTTTCCAAGATAACTGCAACATGAAGTAAGGAATTTATTCCATTCAATTTAGTCACCGAACTTTCCCATTGAAAGGATGTGGCTCAAGGTATCCTCTGGCACATACAAACTTTTCCATATCATATACCCAATCTCCAGCTTCCTAATGCTCCCCCGTTCAGATAACTGGGAGGTACACTACATGATCAAAGGTATGTGGACACCTGCTCATCGAACATCTCATTCCAAAATCATGGGCATTAATATGGAGTTGGTCCCCCATTTGCTGCTATAACAGCCTCCACTCTTCTGGGAAGGCTTTCCACTAGATGTTGGAACATTGCTGCGGGGACTTGCTTCCATTCAGCCACAAAAGCATTAGTGAGGTCGGGCACTGATGTTGGGCGATTAGGCCTGGTTCGCAGTCGGCGTTCCAATTCATCCCAAAGGTGTTCGATGGGGTTGAGTTCAGGGCTCTGTGCAGGCCAGTCAAGTTCTTCCATACCAATCTCGACAAACCATTTCTGTATGGACCTCGCTTTGTGCACGGGGGAATTGTCATGCTGAAACAGGAAAGGGCCTTCCCCAAACTGTTGCCATAAAGTTGGAAACACAGAATCGTATAGAATGTCATTGTATGCTGTAGCATTAAGATTTCCCTTCACTGGAACTAAGAGGCCTAGCCCGAACCATGAAAAACGGCCCCAGACCATTATTCCTCCTCCACCAAACTTTACAGTTGGCACTATGCATTGAGGCAGGTAGCGTTCTCCTGGCATCTACCAAACACAGATTTGTCCATCGGACTGCCAGATGGTGAAGCGTGATTCATCACTCCAGAGAACGCGTTACCACTGCTCCAGAGTCCAATGGCGGCAAGCTTTACACTACTCCAGCCAACGCTTGGCATCGCACATGGTGATCTCAGAGGCAGTTTGGAACTCGGTAGTGAGTGTTGCACCTGAGGACAGATTTTTACACGCTACACGCTTCAGCAGTCGGCAGTCCCGTTCTGTGAGCTTGTGTGGCCTACCACTTCACAGTTGGGCCGTTGTTGCTCAATGACGTTTCCACTTCACAATATCAGCACTTACAGTTGACTGTGCAGCTCTAGCAGGGCGGTACCACGTTGAAAGACACTGAGCTCTTCAGTAAGGCCATTCTACTGCCAATGTTTATGTATGGAGATTGCATGGCTGTGTGCTCGATTTTATACACCTGTCAGCAACGGGTGTGGCTGAAATAGCCGAATCCACTAATTTGAAGGGATGTCCACCTTTGAAGGAATTCCAGGTTAGTAGGCCTAATCTGTGTTGCTTTGAATGTTAACTGCAAGTGTGCACAAATTACACATCAAGAAATGACCTAAGATACAGTATTATATTTGGGAATGTAAAATTCCCAATATCTAATTTGTCAGTTCCATTTTGGTTTCAGGATGTGGATTCACTGACTGTCCTTTCTCCATAGCTGTGAAGTACCTGCACAAACAAAAATAGTATGGGCTTTGAAACTTCACTCACTGTGTGTTTACAATTAAATATGGTACATACAGTGAAATGCTGGAATCCAAAGAAGCATATTTTTCTTCAAGTGTTTTAAAATAGTTTTTTGAGCTCACACAGTGGAATACTCAAGGATATCCTCTGGCTGAGCTCTGATGGCATCTTTGGTGAACTGCAGCAGAAAGTCTGGCAACTCTTGTGGAATATTAACACATCCATTCATTCTAGTGTGACTGCATTCACTTCCAGTTGGATTAGGCCTAGACATGTCTGGGAACACAGTGTCCTAATGGTGATCTGAGACAGAGAGCAAGAGAGCGAGATAATTAATTGTATCACCGTTAAAAAAAAATCTACTATTAATAATAGTCTATTAGCTATATAACTTTTTCAGTTTAAACATTTTAGTCATTTAGCAGACACCCTTATCCAGAACAACTTACAGGAGCAATTAGGGTTAAGTGCCTTGCTCAAGGGCACATCGACAGATTTTCACCTAATAGGCTTGAGGACCTTACGGTTACTGTTCCAACGCTCTTAACGGCTAGGCTACCTGCTGTCCCCCTTAACGGCTAGGCTACCTGCTGTCCCCCTTAACGGCTAGGCTACCTGCTGTCCCCCTTAACGGCTAGGCTACCTGCTGTCCCCCTTAACGTCTAGGCTACCTGCTGTTTTTATTTTCATTATTATTATTATTTACTTGATGTTCACACCCCTATATCATCTCTGTATTCTGTTATTTAATTGAATTATGTTACATATTTTTTGATTGGTTACTGTGCCACCCAAAGGTGATATTTAGAGCCCATGTGACCATTCAACCCTATGCCTGGATGAAGGCCCACTAAGCCGTAACGTTTATTTGTCACGCTATTTGAAATATTTCTATCGAAATGCTAAGTAAATAAAGTCTTATTTAAATTAAAGAAGTTGCTCCTTTCATTCTTCAAGACTGACTTGATGGAAAAAGTAAGCTCCACGACAAATGTTTCTAACATTTTTGTTTAGACCTACTTATGATGGCCATCCAATTGTTTTTTCTGCCAGCAAGCACAGGTATTCCAACATAAGAAGAATGATCAACTTACTGATCTCCTTTAGCTCTATCCCAAGAAAGAAAACACATTTTCCTCTGCGTTTTTGTTTAATTTGTTTAATTCTAAATTAATACCTGCTAGGTTGGTAGCCAAGTAACATAGCGCTAAGTCCTTGTGAAGTGTAGCGTCGTGCTACTATTGTGTCATTTTTTGGTGGTCTACAGAAAACACTAGGCTATCACTAGAGGGGAGTATTTAGCTTTCTGTCTACCAGCCAGACAACAGCGTGATCACAGTGTCGCATTGAATGCGATGTCTTTATGATTTTAATAAGCCTAATGAAATAACAGCGAACATTATCTTTCATGTTTGGGGAAGGCTACACAAATGTTTAATTAAAATTAATCCGAAACTGCTCACAAGAAACGGGCTAGTAGAGTAGAATGACATTTGGAAAAGTTCTTAAGCGCTTCCATAGCTAATTTCCTCTTAATTAGGCCTATGATGAGATGTTTCGATAGGGGGGATCAAGGGGACAACCGGATAGTGCCTTTGAATAACGGGACGTGCCTTGTCAAATCATGGAGTGAGGGAGGTAGATGGTAGGCCAATAGTCTAACATTAGTTGTTTTTCGCCCTACATATAGAAATGGAGTTAACAAATTGAATTGTGTAGGCTTCAAGCCCACATTTCAGAGCAGTAGCCTAACTTCATTGTTATGATCAAATTGTATTGGTCACATACACTTATTTAGCAGATGTTATTTCGGGTGCAGCGAAATGCTTGTATTTCTACTTTTGTAATCTTGTGTTACCTATGTTGGGAGAAAATGCATAGGCTATTGGTTTGAAGAAAGGGGTTATTTTTTATGCATAAATAAGTAATATATCACGGCCTCTTGTCAACTTTCTCCACAGCAGTTTATTCATCTCAGCAATGTAGTGAAAAGGGAAAGGAGTGTGTTTAGGGGGCGTGGGTATAGGAGCGGAGGGGTCCGGTTCTGAGCTATTGTTAGGAATACACCCTGCTGATCCAGGCTGTGCGGATACAGCTCCTGTCTGCGCGATTGGCGGATTTTACAATAAATAAGAAGGCAATGGATTTGGGGGAAGATACGGACTTCGTACTATTATGACTTTTTTTTCTGTAAACGACAGGTTATAGATGTAAAATCATGTTGAGGCTTTTTTTTTTATAGGCAAACCACTTTCATTGTGCAGCTTTCGTGACATCACTAGAATGAACTGCCAAGAAACCGTTCTAATGCAACCATATGCTGATGCCTTGACTTTATAGGCTACAGCAAATTTTCTGGGATGCTCTGGGCTATATTATACTCAATACGTGGGACGTTTAGTGTAAATCCGGTGTTTTCCCAGCAGAACAACCCATTTGAAATCGTAGGTATCTTCATTGTGTCACACGCGCCTTGGGTTCCTTTTGTGGCGCCGGGGCTGCGAAAGGAGGAGGTTGAATTTTAAACAATAGAGCGCAAAATACAGCCCAAGCACAAGGACGGAAACCCACGACTGAAAAGCAGGCGCCTGTGACAAAGAACTCAAGAACATGAAGAAGCCAGCTCGTGCTGCACTGATTTGGTTAAAGTAATCACTGGATATATTTCGCGCTACATTGTCTCTTGAAATCCTCAAGGAGAAAACATGAATTCAGCTGAAGCAGCCGAGGAGGGACCGAATGATTCAGATACGGATGCGTTTTTCAAAACCGGTAGGATGAAAGTACAGTATTAGAAACTCTTTCTTTCTGTGAAGTGAAACGTTTTGATACATGCAATGCTGTATGGGGTAAGCTATTGTCTTGAACCTATGGCAAATCATCTCTTGCCGTAGCCCCAATTGGTTTATGTTGGAGGATGTGAGACCCTCGGCTTAGGTACCAGTGCTCAAATCTAATGAGGACTAAAATATAAGAAATGTGCTATTCACTGACACTCTGTAAGCATTGTATTGAGGATATCTGTAGAATTATGTGATATGTTTTTGTTATAACATATATCATATATGTGTATAAGGGACACACTGTTGCTTTTGTTGGACTTGTATTTACCTTCTACACTCATTATTGCACCACCTTGAACTAATGACTCACCATACACCCCCCCCCCCCCCCCCCCCCCCCCCCCCCCCCCCCACACACACACACACACACACACACACACACACACAAATATGCTGTGTGTGTGTAGTAAACACTTGTCACCAGAAGAAGTTGACAGTTTGGGATGATCTTATGCCATCATCAACAAACACTGGACTGCTTAAATGAGTGGCTGTCGGTTAGTGGGTGACTCCATCAGAGGGGAAAGGCAGTTTCTCAATGAACAAACCTGACACTCTGACACTTGTCATGTTTAGAGTCTCTTCACAGCACCATGTGGGTTTAGGATCTGAGACTGTAATCCTGTGTAGTCTACTGTGCCCGTTTGTGTGTGTCTGTCACACACATTCTGTATCCTCTACTGTAGAAAGGGGACACACCCTGCCTCTCCATCTCACTATAGTCTAGGGCATGGGAATCACACCCAGCTCTGCCGCCACACACCCACTAGTTTTAATCTCACATGAAAATATATATCTCCATTTACAGCTTAATCAGTGCGATAAGTGGTTATTAGGGCCTAGCAAATACCAGGGCTGTGTCCCAAATGTCACTCTATTCCCTATATAGTGCACCATACTACTTTTGACCAGAGCCCATAGGGTGCCCTATTCTTTTAAGCGTGGCTGTCTGACTGTTCCCTCCTTTTTTTGTATGTCAGTTTTAGAATGAGAGTAGGAACTCCCTCTTGCCTCAGAGGAAGGTCATACTGGAGAGGCTCTTACTGTTTTTATGCAAAGCATCTTCTTTGTCATCTATCAGGCAGCCGCCTCAGTGGGGTGGGGAGCAGATGAGAACCAGGAAGTGGGACAAAACACAAGCTGGTGGAAAAGTGGCGCCCCATCCCCTAAGACATTGTGCCTTTGGTGTCAAGGTCTACGGAACCACAACAGCTCTGGCTTTTTCTTCCTCTACGCCAAAATGGAATTGAAATGACTCACAGATGGCGAGATCAGTAAAAGCCACTGGTGAGGAATTTGACTTTTCTGTAGTGGTACAGTGGAGACCATGCGAGGACATCTGCTCCTGTTTCTCCCTAGGTCTATCATTGATAGTTCTATTGAAACACCATGGCAGGACCTACCCTGGGCCAGGCAGGGGGTAGAGACTATAAACCATAAAAGGCCCCTGGCCTGGTCCCACTCAACCACAGCACCAACCAGGGGTGAGTGTTTGCCCTGCGAGAGAAAGACATTATGTGGCTGAATGTGCTGTAATCCATTCACAACAGCCGGCTGAAAGAGCGCTAAAGTGGGCTTATGTCCTGAGCCACACAGGAGTCTCCATGCCTGCTTATTCAGAGCTTAGAGGTAGATTAACCTTGAATGCAAACTTTAATTCTCCCCTCTTTGTAAAGTGAATTCTGAGTAGAAGCATTTTTTTGCGTATAGGACGTAGGTCTTTCGCCTGCAAGGTTCACAAAGTTATCAGCCTTGTAGAACTGTATGTCTCCCTCCGTCTGCCTTTTCGATATGTAATTGGTAGCCATGGCAATCACTTCGCTGGGTAATTTCACCTGCTGCCCCTGGCTTTTAACAAGTAGCGCCCTAGCAGAGCAAGGGCCATCATTAGTCCAGGGAATAATTGCTGGAGATTGACAGAGGCAAGCTCGTGGATCAATATCTGAATTGCTCTAGCATTTCAGTCTGCAGGAAATAAGTCAAGCTGAGAAAAAACTCCAGAGCAGCTGGGTTGGATGGAGCTACTTTAGTTGATTGGACCAACATTGTGAATATGAAGTAAGCTTACTAACCAAATTAATTGATAACACGACTAGGCCTACATTTAGGATTAAAACAGGATTATAAAACCCAGATATTTTATTTTGAGTTACACAGTTCGTAAGTGCCTATGGGGCATTGTAGGGGGCTAGCTCCATTCATTATGAAAATCCCTGGCCAGTGTGTTGGTGCTAGAGATGAGAGTGGGGTGGAGTGTGTGGTCACACAGCGTGCTCAAATCTGCTAGGGTAGCTGGTTGACCCTAGTGCCCCCAGGATCTTCATTTTCCAATTCACTGTGTGATATAGGACCTGCTCCCTCTCGGGAGCCAATGGCTGCATCCCAAATGGCACCCTATTCCCTAAATTGTGCACTACTTTTGACTGGGGCT